TTTCTTTTGATTTGAAATAACCAGACCGTATCATTATAGTTTTAATGATTTTTTGCCCATTAAATTTATAAAATTTAAATAATGTTTGCACATTAATTAGTTTAATAAAACCTTATATTTGTTATTCTATTATTTCCTTATTGTCTATTATATATAGTTATTTTTAAATTATTAATTATATCATATTTATTAAAACTATGTAATTATTTACTTTTTTTAGCCCTGATGTACTGATAACGCCTACAAAATTCTTATAATACTAGTTGTTACATACACTATAAAGCTAGAGCTTGAAATTTATACACCTTAACCCCTTACAGTCTAATCCTACTCACACCACATGTCTCTCTCTTTTTTATCTCTTTAGTCTTCTCTCCTACTTCTCCACTCCCCAAAATCACTCTCAATCTCCCGCCACCCATCACTTGCCTGTCCCCCTCTTCTTCTCTCTCTTCTATTTATTCTCTCATTATCTCTCTCTCCACTCTCACACAAACTCTCAGCTTATCTCTCTCCGCTCTGCTCACTCTCTCTCTCCTCTCTGCTCTCTCTCTCTCTCTTCTCTCGTCTCTCTCTCCACTCTCAGCCAACAACCCAAAGGCCGACCTCCTCTCCTTCTCAACGCTGCACCCCTCATCTCTTCAACCTCCACCATCATCATCCTCTTCTCTGATATTCTCTCACCTCCGACGTCAAAAGCCACTCGCCTTCCCTTATCTCCTTCCATACGCCTCAGCAGCGCAAAGCACCAACCTGGGCTCCATCTCCTTAGCCCCCGACCCACTGTCACCGCCAACCCGAGCCAACCTCTTCGCCCGCTGACGACGTCAGCCAGACCCGACGCAGCCGACCCCTCTCGAACCACCCCTCCTGCGCTCGCATACTGGCCTCACCCAGCCCTCTCCGTCTAATCCGTCAAGCCTCGGAACCGCGCCCGCCAGTGCCGCCTCTCTCTCCCTGTAGCCTGGCGCCCTACGACTCATTCCGAAAGCCCCCAGTATCCATTCTTGGATCTCCCGAACCTTCCGCAGTCACCGCTGCCCGCCCACGGATCCGTAGTCTCGCACGGCGACGTCGATTCGTTCGACGAAAACCCCGAGGCAAGATCCCACTTGCTCAGATCTATATTCTTCTATTTATTATGAATTATCTGTAATTTTAAATCTGTTAGTATTTATCTACGTGGGATTGTTGATGAATAATATTAAATATATCATAGTAATATGATAAATAGCATTTTCAGAATAATTATGATAAATTAAAAGAATTTATTTCGGCAGTGGAATTATTTTTGGATAATTATATTAATTAAAAAGAATTTATTTAAGAACGAAATCATTTTAGGAAAATTATAATAATTTAAAAGGAATTATCTTAGAAAAAGAATCATTTTAGAATAATTATAATAATTTTTAGAAATTATCTTGTGGAAGAAATCATTTTAGAATGATAAATATTTTAAAAACAAAAATTATTTTGGGAAAATAGACTATTTTGAATTAATGAGAATTTATCTTATAAAAAGATTATTTTTGAATTTATGAATTTATTATTTTAAAAGATTATTTTTAGAATTATTGTAATGAGAAAATAACTTATTTTGAAAAAGGGATTATTTTGAAAGAACTCATTTTGTAAAAGGAATTATTTTAAGTAAATAAAATTATTATTTCATAAGATTATTTTAGAACAATTTTATGATTTCTGATTCTTAATTATGTGATATGCATTGATATTATCATACATGATCATTCGTATTCGTTATTTCTGGTTGTGATTGAGAACTGTTAGTGGTCATGACTGTAGTAGCCTTACGTGGCCTAGAGACATGTATTGTGTTGACTTAGAAAAGCGAGAAGAGTTGGGATGGGGAAGTTAATGTTCATGTGATCGGATAAGACTGTTGATGTATCTTCCAGACTAGAACCAGTGAACCGTTTTGCACTGGGGTTAGTTTGTTGGGCCAAGTGAACCGTTTCGCACTTGGTTAGTGAAATCGTTTCGTCACCTGAGTTTTGCTTGAGTTCGGACCAGGCTGAAATCGGATTGCGTGTAGTCCTCTAGCCGCCTGTTTCGCGGGATTGGATGCACGTAGGGGATTTGTGATCGGATTGCGTGTAGTCCTCTAGCCGCCTGTTTCGCGGGATTGGATGCACGTAGGGGATTTGTGAACAGCCAGTATCCGATGATAGGAGTGTTAACTCTGTGTGAGATGTGACTAGCGACCTGTTATAGAATGGCTAGTTACATGACCTCGTTTCTTGGCTAGGTATGATTTCTTGTGAGATGTAGGCCAGTTATATTTCTTTTCATACATAGATCGTGATTGAGACATATGGTATATACATGAGGGTTTCCTTGTTTGGATTATTTCGCTCGACGTACTACGTCTCTTGTTGTAGATTTTTAAGTATTAATTCCATCTAGTGTATGCCCTTGTGACTTGGATGATTATTCTGATCGCTAGCTGCATGATCGACTTGTTACTTGGTTGATTCCCTTGGATTTATTATGATTATTCTATTCTAGTAGTAAATTATATTTAGATTATTAATATTTTAGTTGTATGTTTCCATTGTTATTACCATTATTGCATTGGTCGCATGACCGTTCTATTCTTCCTTTTGGGATCTTACTGTGTGCCATACACGCTGACGTACACCTGTTTCCTCTGGTGTACGTCAGATTTAGATGATGGACAGCTTCAGTTCGGAGTCGTACAAGAGCCAGAGGATTTCTCGTAGGAGTACCTTGTAGACCGAGCAGAAGAAGCCGAAGCTTAGTTATTGGTCCTCCATTTACTTTTGTAGCACCTTCCATTCTGTTGATCGATGTATTTTATATTTTCTGGTATTTCTTTCAGATAGTCTTGTATAAGGGCATGTTGACCCGAATATTATGCCTGGGATGATATTCAGTTGTGATATGTATATTTTCTGTTCTGAGTTGTTTATTACATTCTCGCTACTGTGATCGGAGACTTGTGCCTTCATTTGTATTTCTTGACGCTTAGCGTATTAGATTGAGAAGACGGGGTCTAGCACTTATCTCTCTTCAGTTTAATACGTCGCGGGCTTGCTCGCGTCCCGATTCCCTGGTATTTTGGGAAGCGGGGCGTGACAATTTATAAGACCTCAAGTTAGGACAAAAAATTTGTATTGAAGTGAGATAATTTTGAGAAAGTGGAGATAATTATCCCAATCTCATTATCCCAATGAATAATTTCTTTAAACTTTTTAAGTAGAACTGGGATAATTGGTAAAGTGAGATAATATTTTAACACTGGGATAATTTAGTGGAACAATAATGGGTAATTCTTAAAGTGGGATAATTTGGTAGGATAATTTGGTGGGAGGGATAATTTAGTGGAACAATAATGGGTAATTCTTAAAGTGGGATAATTTGGTAGGATAATTTGGTGGGATAATGATGGATAATATTATGATTTGGTAGGATAATTTGGTGGGATAATGATGGATAATATTATGAAGTTGCATAATTTGGTAGGATAATTTTGCCGGGGTAATGGTGGATATAAATTACTATTGTTAATAATTGTATATTAAAAATAATATAATATTGATAAGCAAATTCTAGTAATAACTATAAAATATAATGCAATAAAGCATCACTATTCATCTTAAATAATAAAATAATTTACAAATAAATAAAAATCTAAATCCCTAGAGTGACTCGACTTCCATCATCCCACATGGCTTTTATCATCCCACATGGCATCTGCCATAGAATTTCTCCAAGCTCCTACAGCTGCTCGTTGAGTCTGTAACTCGTCTTCTTTATCGGAGTCATCGTCTGTATCAGCAACATTTCGCGCAGCTTCTAGTGGAGGATCATAAATGTCGAAGTTCAAATCTCATAACATCATAAAGAAAGAAAAAATTTTTTAGTCATTAACCCTTTGGACCAATCTCATCATGATCGCTGAAACCAAATCAGCAAATAAATGAAATGTACACAGGAATCATCCATGGCCGCTAAACAGATGATCGACAGATGAACTATAAATATCCCAATCAATTTACTGAGCCGACTTAACAATAATAGATATCACCATTAACCATTCAACATCTAATCATCAATGTGATTGCAAAGTTGTTTTCTAACTTATAAAAAAAACGTAAATAGCCCACATATCTTTAGCACTAACCCACCAACACTATATTCTTAACCTAAACCACTGTTGTGGAGAGAAAACTTAGATCAAACAAATAATAATAAAGTAAATTAACGTCAAAAAGCTATCAATAAAATAATACATCTTGAAGATAATAATAAAAGATCTAATCATCAAAAAAACGAAGTAAAGACAGAAAAATAAACGGATGATTGACTTCATGACAGAGAAATTTTTTAGGCGGAGAAACTAACCAAGAGGGAGGGAGGCGGCGTTTCACTTTTTTTTTTCAATTGTATTCTTTCCAATGTATGGGATAATTTGAGAGAGGAGACTTATGGTTCTATATATAGGTAGTATAATTTGTGGGATAATTATGACCAATTATCCCAATTCTAATTCTAGTAGAATTCTACTTGACTAACGCACCAAAAAATAATACAGTTCTAGTTCTATAAAAGTTCTACTTGACTAACACTATAAAAAAATATTCTATTTTCTAGTTCTATGTGACTAACACCTTAAAAATTTATCCCATAAATTATCCCAGTTCCAGTTTTAAGTTAAAAATTTATCCCATAAATTATCCCAGTTCCAGTTTTAAGTTTTAGATGGCTAACCCCCGTAAGAGTACAGTCAAGCGCATGGATCAAACTCGAAACAAACAGTGATGACAGTGGTGTAGCATTATAGTAGTTATGAATTCAAAGACACCCAAAATATCACCCGCCCATCTATGGAGTTGGCCCCATGTGATGTTCAATGCGTCAAGGTGTGGGTTCATCTGTAACGTGTAAGTCTAGTTATTCTTGTTTTCCAGGGAAACTCATATCTATGGGCTCTCCGAGTTTCTGACCCCCCTCGTATCTCATAGTACCCGAAAAAAACCGAGAAAATTAAGCCCCGTCTTTTAAAAAAAAATCGAAACCTAGGGTTTTTATTCTATTTTCACTTCAATTCGTTCTTCTTCTCAATCCCTTTCTGTTTCTCTTCTACAATTCGTTGAAAAATTTAGGTTTCTAGGGTCACTGCTGTAGATCTGATAGTGCTATGCTTTTGAACTGTCTCAAAACCTAGTTCGTGGCAAAAAGGGGCTAATTTTAGGGTTTGGAAATGTCAGTTGAGGGAATCAAATGCAATGGGGAGGTGAAGCAGGAGGTTTTGTCATCAAACGAGGGGTTATTAACGTACAGGAGGAGGAAAAGGATGAAGACGGCGGTTAAATCGAGCTATCCACAAGAATGTTTGGAGGTTTCAGCGGACGAGGAGGTAAAGATTTGTTCTTTTTGTCCTAATCGTATTTCAAGTCTTCTTGCTAAATTATTATTTTCATATAAAATAGATATTCTCCTTTAATGTGTTTGAATGGTTGTTTATTTGGTCTTTGCAAGTATTTAACTAAAATATCTACATTTATATGTATATGAGATGAAGGTGGATAGTTGACACATTGATAATATTTTCAAGCTTTGTTCTCCAATATGAAGTTCCTTTAATTCACATGCACATGATATTCCATTTTAGCAAGGCCGACTTTTGTCCAATGGCCAATTGATTAGTTTAAACATTTGCATCCGAATGGGATTTTTAATTAACTTTCAGTCTTTCGACAAGCAGTGGAGATCCTTTTTAGTGCATACTTGTGTTTGAACAGCAAAAACTGTATTTAGTTTTATTGCATTGAGGGTGGACATGAATTTGAACATCTGATGTAGTCGTATACAGTTGACAACCTTTTTTCTCCATGTTTCTATTTCAAGGCCGATGCAGCACTGTTTCATAACCCCACCTAATAATCAATTTTACCTGTAGAACCTTGGGTAGCTCTGCAATAAAGTAAGCAATATTTATTGATTAACTAGTAAACTGTGTGAATTGTATATATTGCAAATAGTTGGAGTGTAAGTAATTCTACACTCGCCAGAGGTAACTTTGACCCATAGCCTGTAGCAGCTATTTGTTGAGTATAATATTTCTGATACGACCATTGCATGAAGTTCACGTCATTCTATTCTGGTGTCCTGGGTCATTGTGTTCAATTATCCTTCTTGTAAAGAGGATAACTAGAAACAGGATCATTTAGATGAACTCTTAGGCATATATGCATTTGGAAATTGGGGGAAATCAGACTCTCATTCAACTTAAGGTCAACTGCACCAGTAATTGAGGATTTGCCAACTGCTAAGAAGATTCTATTCACTTTTGGAGACTAGATTTTACCTCTCAAGCAAAGGGGCATACCTAAAGTAAACAGAGAGGTGGTGCCCATCTAACCTCCCTTGCCTCCTATGCTATATTGCATGTATTGCCCGTCTGAAAATTGATTTGTTTCATGCACCATTCCGAAGAGGCTTGAAGCACAGGACTGAGCTGGTTCTCTAAAAGTGTTTCAACAGAAAATTCCCTCTTCTAAAGTATATGTTGCTGTTATTGTCATTTAATTAAAAAAACTTCTCTTACTTTAGGTTGGTTAAGCTGTGGGTCCTAGAAGACTAGGGCGTGACTATGGCTGCAAATGGTTCAGAAACAGACTGAATATGGTTCTTACCATATTGGTGCCCACTTATTAATTACGAATGTTAATGTGGATATTTCTTTGTAAATAAGACTCATTATCGATATCCGCCAAAATCGAATAAGGATATGAATCAGATATACGAACGCAAAACAGATAGTAAGTTAAGAAATAAGATTGATGGCCCTACGAGACAAGAGATGTTTAAATATGACAAATTTCTCAAATGAGAGTCAATAATATGTTTGGCAAGATGAGATTAGATCTCTAGATCATCAAATTTACCTCGAATCTATTAGTCTAATGGTCAAAACAATTCCAAATGTGTGACCAATGCATTTCTTCAGATATGGATCCAAATGTTTCACTTATAATCTTTATCCGTATCTATATCCTATTGAATATAGATATTGATGTACATATTCTTATCCTAGTGATACAAATACACAAATGTGTGCATGCATGAATGCATGGATGGATGGATGGATGGATGGAGGCCCCAATGTGACTCACTTATTTTTCCTACACGTAGACATATATTAATAATGAGATGCATACGTTTAATATAAGTGAACAAGGTTCATATTAATATGCCAAAAGCAAACCACATATGATATTATGAAATCCTGATGCTGCTGTCACAGCAACAATTGATGTTCATCTGTATCCATTTTGTACACTAGGTTCGAGTATGTACAATATTATGAAATTTTGATCTTGTTGTCAAAACAACAATTATCGTTTACAATGTTGTAAATAGCGGCCAATAGCGGGGCTATAGCGGCGCGAATAGCGGTCGCGGCCCTTCAGCCCTACGCGTAGGGGTTTCGCGGCTGGCTTAAGCGGGAAAATCCGCTATTCATTCGAATAACGCGTAAAAGCGGATTTTAGCGGGTTAAAAGCGGGTTTTCGCGGTTAAAAGCGGATTTTCGCGGTTAAAAGCGGATTTTTGTTGTTAAAAGCGGCTAAACCCGCTATCACACATATTATGATGCTATATTTCTTGAATTTCTTCATAGTTTCATTCATGCAACAAGCTTATTAATTGTTATTTATTGATAATACAAGAAATTTACAACTAATTGAATTTTTAGATTTTTTTATGAATTTTCTTATTATTTAGGATATTTAAATATATTTAAATTTGACCGCTATTTGACTGTGCGCTATTTGCCGCGATTTCGTCGCAATAGCCCGATATAGCCATAGCGGTACCTCGCCGCGCCGCGCCGCGATCCGCTATCAGCAACCTTGATCGTTTATCTGTCTCGTGGCGCTGTCACAATAACAGTTGATGTTTATCTGTGTTGTGGTCTTTTGTGAACAAGCACTAGTCATATAGACACACCTATATTTTTTAAACAAATGTTCATGAATCATGTAGGTGAGGGCATGTTCTATGAATATATACCAAGTTCCCGTTGGTCAAGTTTTTTTGAAATAATGGATTATGGAATAACTCAATCAAGTGAACAGTTGTCAAAATATATATTTGTACTTGGAATTATCAATTCAGCTATTTGATTATTGCATTCTTTAGCAATAACATTGTTTTAATTCGTTGATGAGTTAGGAGAAAAGTCTTTGGAAGCCTTCATAGTAATATTTCGTAACATTCCTTATGGATTAACTGGAAAGGTACAATCTGTAAGTCCATCGTGGGGCGCGGAAGGACATGGAAAATACTACCAGCATAATGGTTCTTTTTCAATTGTTACACTTCCAAAATTTCAGTCATTTAAACGTCCAAGTTCCCCATTCCACAATTTCTTTTGTAGTAAAATGGTTCTCAATTTTTGTTGAGTCATCAAAACTTAAAGGTGAGGTCCGACGATGCATGTTCTTATGTGGTTTCTGGATAGTGTTTGTTTTCCCCCTCTTCTATTTGAGTGTGCTCATAAGAAGCTGGTGAGGTAACAAATAGACGAGACTGCAGGGCTAAGCAAGAGAAATGGTGAGTGATAAGCATTATGCAACACTTCCATGAACAAGCTGTGATCAAATGGTTATGGTCCCAAAAAAATTGCCTACATCTTTAAGTGAATATTCTGACTGTGGGGTGGTCATTTTTCATTATTATGTCATTTGAGACTTGCTTGAAGGTAGACAACAAAGTACAATTGGTTGTAGTAGCTAGTACACTTACTATGCCACAGAGTTTGGTTCTTTTTAGAACGTCGAATGTCAAGTTTCTGGTGAATCCAACTAATTAGAAAAGGTGGCTGTAGTTCTCAATGAGAGTCCCAGAGGAAGCACCAGAAAGGGCAGGCTTAAAAGGATAAGAATGAGGTTAGAGTGAGCATTGTGCAAATGAAAATTTGAAGATGCTAATACAGCATTTTGGGGCAAATATAACTAAACAGTGATAAACTCATAATACAAACAAATGATGTAAACTTAGATGGAATGGAATAAAATATTAGAAAAAACATTGACTCCTGCTCAAAGCAAAAAGAAACTATAAGCAGAAGCGCAAATGAAATTTTGAAGATGCTAAAAACAGCATTTGGGGCAATTATCACTAAACTTATAATGCAACATAAATCTAGACATACTGGAAGCAAATTTTAGAAAAAGTATTAACCTCCCACTCAAGACGAAAGTAAATAATAAGTGGAATGAGCCTGCTGGAAATATCTGACAGGTTGGAGAATCTTATTTCATGGTGTGGAGGGTATACTCCTGAAAACAATTTGATTAGATGGCTTGTATGTTATATGCAAATGATCCAAAAATTGATAATTAATGCCAGCCATTAAGTTTCTGGCATGTAGGAATGTGTATCAATTATGCACATGGGCTAATCCCATTGAAGTCCTGAAGCCACCATGAATAAAATGGTCAGTAAAGACTATGTTAAATGGGCTTCATTGTCTTCTTAATAGATCTTTGTGTCTGATTGTAAGAATGGCGTGTCAATCAGCAAGTAAGAATGGCATATCATTCTGTTCTTTATCTCATTATACACCTCTCTCAAAGAATGGCATATCACTAGTATAATATGAGGGGGATTGCATAACTGAATGTATCCCTCTTGTTCAATGAGATAGTGACAATACGACTGGGATTGTTTTTGGATACCTCTACTGCAGAAAATATGAATTTTTTACTTTTATTTTTGGGTATGTCTAAGGCTGTTTTGAGATTCATTGAGAAAGGTGTTAGGTGTTAATGTGTTATAGTAGAAGATGGTTGTGCTAAAATGGAATGAGACTTGAGCCTTCTTCATGGTCAATAGTAAACAGAAAAAGCCCAAAAACAGTTCTCTATTCTTCACATTAATTGTAAGCATTAATATTATGCCTCCAGGATCCGATTGGGAATTTAGACCATGGGTGCGCATCTACTTAGTTTAGGTTATCAAAATTCCAGAGCAATATTTAAAGATTCAATTTTGTTTATATTCCATAAGATCAACACAACTTCAGTTCTCAAGATCATGCTTGTATATCTTAGAATATCACTACTAATTCAAATTGTACAGCATATTATTACAATTCCATGCTAACACTAAATATAAACTATAGCATATCTTGAATATCCCCAGTTATCATATTGTCCAGACATAATAACAAGTACAGACAATTAGTAAAGATAATAACCTTATGTTATTACCTCACCTAGGAAGTTCACCTTCAAATATTGAACCCAGGGCACATGATATAACGTTAAACAAACTCTGAAAAGTTAATAATTGGGACGAGTATGATGACTTAGTAAGTAACCCATTCATTCCCTAAATTCCAGGTTTGCAGAAAATAATTGGGACGTGTCCTCTTTCATATTTGATGGTTTTCACAGTAGTTAGATTATAGCTGTCCATCTTATACCTTCATTTGGAAGCAAGGAAACAGAGGGAAGTATATGAGTTAGAGATTTCTCATATTGTAGCTTATCTTGCAGACTTGAGGTTTCATAATGCAAGCCATTTAGTGAAACCAAATGACTTAAATTTTATTTGTGCAAGCATGTACATGTAATTGTTATATGTATTTTTAAATAGGAAGCTTATGTTCACTTTGGCACCCCAAAATTTACCTTATTTCACTTTGATTCCCCAAAGCTTTTATAACACTTTTAACACCCGAAAGTTCTGATATCTTTTCAATTTGATACCTTTGTTTAGATTTCATTAGATTTTCTATTAAGTTTGTATCATGTGCTTATCAAGCAATATTGCTAGTGGGAACATTTGGTTGTTTGGATCTCTAGCACCTGTAAAATGGACTCAAGTGTGACGTGGATTCAACAGAAAATCTAACAAAATCTAGACTGGGGTATCAAAGTGAAATGGCATTGAAACATCAGATATGAAAGTGTTAAAAACAGTACTTTGGAGTATCAAAGTGAAAAAGTGAAAATACGCTTATATAGAATAGGTTCTGCATATTAGAATTAATATATTCAACAGTAACTCAATTTGCTGTTATTTGATTTGTTTCAAAAATTGATATATGTTATACATCAGTTAATCATAAAACAAGTGTTTGTTTCTGTCTGCACTTAAAAAATTCATTTTAATGTATCTATTGAAATATTCTATTTTCAATGATGTACAAAATTTAATGTCCCATCTTTTTCTTCAGTTTTAATGCATGTGACCTATTGGCCCTGTTAGAAAGTGGAAGAAGATGACACTAGAACTGCTATTCTTCATACCTAACAAATGCCTAAAAGTTGCTTGTCACAAATTTGTTTCTCTTCTACCCCCAAATTTAGCCATAAGCAATTAGTGAAACGTGGAACGTTTATAACCAATTTTTGCCTTTGTTTTACCTGAATTTCTTTACCCTGAAAACCATAGCCAATAACTGTTGGGTATGAGTATCATTATATAAGCTTGATGCTATGCCTTGGCTTAACTCTTATACCCAAAACATGAACTATAGCCTTTTTTGAGTTCCTAAACAAGGCAATCGTGAATTATTTTTTTCTCTCTGGGTGCACCTAAAGTGAAGGACTTGATCAGAAAGATCTGCAACATATATACTTAATTAATTAAATATTAATAATTTCAAAAATTTTGGTATTTTTGAAATAAAAGAAACTTTATTATTTAGGAAAAGGCCTGGGTTTGATATCTTTTGATATGTTTAAAATAAGACATTTTTATCATTGTGAATTGTGAAACCATGAGCAGGTGAACTTCATTTTCTGCCTTAATCATTATATCTGTATTTCATTTTTATCATGAGTTTATATGCAACTAATAAGATCAACTTGTGAATTTTAGGGTATTCATTTGGCCTCCAGTCAAGGGAAAGGTAAGGATTTCGGCTGGCAGCACGGAAAGATGGTTGATGGCAATAGGTATCATTGGAAATGCAACTGGTGCAACTTTATTGGGCGTAGTGGTGGAGTTACTAGGCTTAAAAAACATCTTGCTGGTGGATGGCATGTAAAACCATGCCGAAGGGTTCCAAGACATGTTGCACACACTATGAATAATCACTTAAAAGAATTGAAAAAGAAAAGACTCTTCAACAGGAAGAGGAAGAGTGAGCAGGATTACATTGATGCAACAAACTCAGGACGTCCTCCATTAGATATTTTTCCTGATGTGGGTAATGAACAAGTTGGTTTGAGCATGGTCGTGGCTAATGGCACTGAGCAATCTGGAAGAGCTGCCCAAAGCTTTGAAACGGAGAGTCAACAGTCGAGGGATTCTTATCCAGAATCAAAATTCGCAACACAACAATCGTTTGACATGGCAAAGGTAAAATATAAGTGTAATTACTTGATCTTATTAAATCACATGCCCAATAGTGTTGACCACTTATGGTGGTTTGTTTAAGAAACATCATTAAGTCCTTGCATATGAAAATAGTTCTAGATCAATATACATGTAGTTTTGACCACGTATGGTGGTTTGTTTATAGAAACATCATTAAGGAGAGTAAAACAGAGTCAGATTGATAGGAAAACTACATGTATATTGATCTAGAATATTTTCATAGGCGAGGATCACGGGCTTATGGATTTGAAACTGCAGGTGAACGATGCTTTTCAAAAATCCATCAGAACTGCTAGAAGAAACAGGAGTGCTAATCGTCGATCAAGGACTTCCTATAGAAGGTCAAGGACTGCCAATCAACAACCTAATGCTGATATTGTTGAGGTACAATAGAGTACAACAGTCTTTCTGAAAGTTCAAGGAATTAAATGTTGTAGGGCACTACAGTTGGCTCTTTTACATTTTGTTGTTGGTACATTTATCGCCTGATTCTGACTTAAATGGAAACTTGGATGTTGGAACTTCTACACTATGTTTTGATAATTTATGTAGCTATACTCTATGCCATTTCCCCTCGAACTTACATAGTTCTGAACCTTTTCATTTTATGGTTTTTGTCATATTAGACCCTAACCTTAATCATAATTATATATTAGGCCCACAATATTCATACTTCTAATTTACACCCAATTCTATTAGTTGTTTTAAATAATATCTCCTGTGTAGTTTCAACTATTGTTTGGCAACTTCTATTGTTATTTAAAACAATTTAATATCTCTACAGGTGTAAATTAAAATTATGAAGATTTGGGGGCCTAATATAGTATTAAGAAAGAATTTAGGGTCTAATGTGACAACTTAATAGATTTGGGGATTCAAATAAGAACTATGAAGTTCTGGGGGCTTAATATAAAATTAGGAAAGAATTTAGGTCTAATAGACAAAGATCTTTCATTTTATTACAATATAGCTATGTCGGTCAAATTTCCCATTTTTATATGCAATCTTGTGTTCAGCAGCCTACAAAGGAACCTCACAACACAGTGTTACTTACTGATTTATCCAAGCAAGGTGACCTTTCTAGCACAGATAGGCACTGGAAGAGTGTGTTGCAACACATGCTGCAATTGTTAGATGCCCATGAAGGTGGTGGTATTGAGTGCAGTATCAGTGATGCACTAACTCATTTTGTTTGTAATTTCATTCTTCTGGATCATCTTCAACCGTGATTGACATTTCAAATTGAGTAATTAGATAATCAGATTGTGTTCATTGTTACAGGATAGACATAAAAGCCATTTTCAAATGCCAGGTCAGTCTATAAGGAGGGATATTCCTGAAGATACCTTAGTGAACATATCGGACACTGGGACCTTTGACCAGTTGGATGCAATTGCTAATAAGCAGAAGTGTCAAAATGCTTTCTTTAAAATTTTATGTTCAGATAAGTTTGCTTTGTTGTGCAATTTACTTTGTGAAAGCTTCCAAGGCATCAACACAGAGAAATTATTCGAGATTAGCCAAATTAACTCCAAAATGAAAATGGGGGTTTATGAACTCTCACCAGAATTATTTAATCAAGATCTTCAACAGGTATCATCACTTAATTATTTTTCATTTCATCTTTACATACTATCTCTGAATGTGTAATCTTAGAATTGGTTCATGATTTTTAGTGCCTGTTGGGTTCTTTTCAGTGTAAATTATTTATGTCGTAATATGTTTTGCAGATTTGGAGAAAATTTAAAAAAGTTGGTGAAGAGATGGTTCTTCTTGCAAATTGTCTTTCAAACATGTCAGAGGAGGTTCATCAGAAGCAGGTAATAATTATGGAGTGTTTTTTCTTTCTGCTGTCTTTCATTATTGCAGTTGGGTTTGTTAATATTCCATATTGTTATCAGAGGAGTTGTAGCGTACTAGTGTTTTCCAAGTTGAAAACCCGGGATGCAATACTAGTGCCATTGATTCTCATTGTCTTTTTTTTTCAAAGACCAATTAATGCACTTATATAACCAGTCCTCTTTGTAACAAATAAAAAAATTGAATTAAAAAAAAAAACACCGGAACACTAAAATTGGAAACATCAATTCATCTCTCATATTTAGTTCTATTTTAGATTTTATATGCAAAATGTCGTCCATTGTGTCTGGAGGTTTTGGCAGCCCTCTTGGGTGTTTCGTGGCCCTCTAAATCTTTGTCAGTCTCTGGTACTGTGGGTTATCTGGAAACTGTGCTTTGGGTGCCCTATCCGTGTCAAACACTTGTCAGACACAAATTCGCTGTGGACAACAATGGACACGTGTGGTTCAAAGCAAAACCCGATTTTCCCTAGTAGTGATAACCCTAAACTAGTTGCTTTGTGCTTTGTTTGGGAGTTTACTAAGGAAAGCGACGGAAAGTTAAATAATGAAAAGGAAATGCATGGAATGGAAGTAAAAAGATAAAATGTTGTTTGGGAGTTTAGTAAGGGGAACGGAAGTAAATTTGTTTTATCTTGTTTGGGAGTTCTAATAAAGAGGAGGGAACTGAAGTGAATATGTATAAAGTTACATAAATACCCTTACATATTGGATGGGAGTATATCTTAGCCATTGATTTTAATGTCATAAGGGTATAATTGTCTTATCACATTGTAAATTTTTACATTGGTTTCCATTCCATCCTCTACCCCCCAAATTGGAGGGAAGGAAAATGGAAGGAAATTTAACCTTACATTCCATCGTCTAACCCCTGAAAAAAACTCCCAAATAAGGTGAAGTTGAAAATTCACTTTAATTTCCATCCATTAACCTCCATCCAAGCATGGCGTTGGTGTATTGGACTAAAAAAAAACCCAGTAGGTTTCTTAACCAAAAAAACTTAATCCCATTACTCAAATATTTTAAAAATACCCATGGTATCGCATGTGATCAAAACTAAGCTTTTGTGTTTAGCCTTAATTCTTAGTTTGATTTAAATTGATTCTTAATTAATTGTTATAGATAGTAAAAGAAACATACAAATGTTGTAGGTATTTTAATTCAATATTTTATCTGTTGTAAATATTGTATATGTGTCCCCGTATCTTGCCTTTTACAAATATATCGTGTCCTGTGTTCATGTCCACACCTGCACTGATATCAGTGCAACATAGCTGGTACCCCTCTAGAACAGTGGGCAATATCCTCAATTGATATTTTTGCATCTTTCATATCTCAGACTATGGATAGTGTTTGGTACTAATTTTGAGTTGTATAGAAGGATGATTAATTTGATCCTGTGTGTAAAGGACCAGCCAGAGCACCCATTTATTATGTTTTTGCGGAAAATGTTTCTCAATTTTCTATTTTGAAGATATATCTTTGATTTAATTCTTTGCAACTTTTGTCTTTTTCCTCTCTTCTTGTTCTTTAATCATAGGGTTAAATTGCAAATATACCCCGTTTACTATTACCAAATTGGTAACTTCAATTTTATCTCATAAAGTTTCAATCTTAGATTGTATTCCCAAAATGCCCTCCATTGTGTGTGGATGCTTTGAGAGTCTCTTGTGCTGTCTCGTGGCCTTCTAAATCTTTGTCAGTCTTTGGCAGTCCTCTATAATCAAAAAGTATTTAATACTAATTTTGAGTTATGTGCAAGGATTATTGATTTGTAATGGATGCACCATATCCTCTCTTGATTTTTATTTATTGTTTTAAGGGGGGTTTTTGTTTGTGTTTTTTTGTGCAGCTCACATTTATAGTTTTTAAGAAAAATGTCTATATTTTCTATTTTGAAGAGATTTTTTTTGACTTTATTCTTTGCAACTTTTGTTTTTTCCTGTCCTTTTCTTCTTGTTTAATCTTAGGGTTAATTGTGGATAGTCCCCCTGAACTGTCGCCAAATTGAACTTACTACCTATGTAGTTCTATTGTTGCAGGTAGACCCGCTGAGTGAATTTTTTTTGACCCTTTTCAAGGGGTCTATCTTCTATAAAACTCTTTCAGAAGGTCCTCTCATACCTTGAAAGTACATGGGTCCTGTTATTTGTAGTTAGCTAATAATAAACCAACTAAAGATTTCAATGCTTATGATATTTCGATGCTTGCCACTATCCTTATCAATCATACCTGCATTATGACTCATTTCACATGTGCATAGGTCGGAGATGACTTGGCAGGGGAAGCCTGTCTGAAGAAATGTGAGGCAAGTTATTCTTCTCAATCTCAAAGTTTAACACTTCTTATTATTTGGGATTGGGATGTCCATGATGCTATGTACCTAAATATTACCAGATACTGCCCATAAAAAATCTTCTTTGCCTCCACTAGCTTGTTATAATAACCTTTTCAATTCCCATCTTTTACTCAGGAGAATTCTCAGGTTGTTGCAGCAAGGAATTCCAATGAATCAGATACCGGGACACAGTTCCCCTCCTGCGAATCAGTTCCCTCCAATAAAGTAGATCAAACCGAGGCTTCCGGTCTTTACAAAATTTGTACTTGCAAGCAATGTGGTAATGAAGCGGATCTTGACAGCAGTCTTACATGTATTGAATGTGAGGCTGTGTACCATTTTTCTTGTGCTGATCCTACCGTCCAAGAAATCTCCACTAGAACTTGGCACTGTACTTCCTGTGCTAAGGAAAGAACACAATCATCTGAACCTCCTGTAAAGAATACTGAAGATAATGGAATACACGACAACTGTGCAGTATGTGAGAGGCTTGAGATCTCTGAGCCAAAAGAGCTCATCAATGATAGTGACAGGACTGCAGTAGCTAATGCCTCGAGGGAGAGCTCGGTTTCCAGTATGGAGTCTGATGAGCTGCCGGAACCATCAAGGACTGCTTTGGCTCGCTTATGCAAGCACTGTGGAACATGTGAAGATGAAGACAAGAGATTTCTAATATGCGGGCATAGCCAATGCCCTTACAAATATTACCATATCAGGTGCTTGACAACTAGTCAGATAGCAAGCCTTCAACAGATAGGCCAGCATTGTTGGTATTGCCCTTCTTGTCTCTGTAGAGCTTGCTATAGTGATAGAGATGATGACCTGATCGTCTTGTGCGATAATTGTGATGAGGCTTATCATACATACTGCATGAGACCTCCTCATAGTTCGATTCCCAAGGGTCAATGGTATTGTTTGAAGTGTAATGTAGTGAGGGCTAAAGAAGGAATGAGAAGGTATGAGAACTTGGTCCTACAACTGCATGGAAAGAAGGATCTGAAGCAGGGAAATGAAGGTAATCGATCAATGGATGTGCTACTCAGTGCTGTGGACAAGTTGAGCTCTGAAGAGAATTTGGCAGCCGGAAAGAATCAAGAGTGAGATGAAAACGTCATTGTTTGTAACTTGCCCGCTTCCTTGGATGTTTTTCTTCGACTTCCATGAGTTCAGTACTCCCTTGCTATCAAGTCTCTTTAATGCGTGTAATGTTGGAATCTGGAGTGGAAGAAGAGAGTAACAAATGTAACAATTTTGGCAAAAGTATGGTAGCGGAAGATGCTTAGTTCTTTATAAAATACTGAAGTGCTTCTATACAATTTCAAGAAATTTCTAGGCAATACGATGCCACTGTATTCATATTATGATTTGTTGAATCATCATGAAGAGTGCCAGTTCTCTAGCAGATGATTGAGGCTCCAGCATGATTCCCGTTGGTTTCTATGACAAGGACCTTCGATTTTAATGCCTTGTCATTCATGATTATCGACTTGGGACTTGCTTTGCTGAATGCATCTCCAGCGTGAAGAGGTCAACAAGTCTCTAGCTTTTCTTGTTCCAAATGAGTGTTTGTTCCTCCTTCGGAAGTATGAACTGCGAAGGGGCCGGTATTTAATTTAGATGAAATTCGCTTGAAATTTTTTGTTTTGTTTTTTTGCCAGGTGATTTATACCAGAAAGAAGATATTGTCAATACTGACCTCTTTTTCATTCAAAATCATGAAGGATGTTTTGTAAATTATTTTTTTTTAACCAGATGTACCCACCTTTTTCTAGTTTATATTAGCCTCAAGACAAACTATTACACTGTCTTTTTTCATCTTCCCCATCAAAATGATGTGGAATTGTAATTTCAAATAAGCTGGAAAATAAATAAATAAATAAATAAGGCACCCAAGAGGAGGAAAATTCAAGATAATCTCACTTATACATGTATACACAACCAAGTAGCCAAAAACACGTTGGATATGCCATCGTGTCCCTGCTTCACAACTCCGCTCTTCTCGTCAGGAATCTTTTGTCGCCGTCTCCACTACAAACATCCAGGCCCATTAGGCCCAATATCATGCATTGGATACCTCAACCCCCCGTATAACTACAAAAAACATAGATAAATCTTCCTCTATGCAACAATGATAATGTTGGCCATTATGATATTGGGTGGAGTTAGGTCGGGGAGGAAATATGAGAGCGAGAAAGGAGCCAATGGGAAAAAGACTGCAGGGTTCTCATGTCTGCTCTGTAGTGGGCCTGAGTGAAGTGGAGTAGGTCGGCCCATGTGAAGTCTGGGTACATCCTGGGCTCATCCTTGCTTACTAGGCTGCTTGGGGGTTTAACCACTTTGTCCTCTCTTGGGCAAACAAAGAAGGCTAGGGACTTCCTCTCCCTTTGACCGTTCACTACTGCTCTATGGAGGCAGCTTTTGTATCTCCCATTTGACAGTGCCTGCATGCTCAACATCCAAACAAGAATGAGAATCTTTTTATTATTATCCTGTAGTTGATAGTTTTATTATGAGTTGATGAATATATCATGAAGTGATGGACATGGGTGGCCACTAATTAGCAGAACTAGCAATGAAGGGATTGGCTAACAGTAGGGCCCATTCAAATAGTTACATCAAATATCGCACACATTATTTTTATCTTTTGGCATCTCATTTCGCTACATTAGACGTGACCTTACAACTGTCAAACCCTATCATGAATCATGCAATTATGAAGATCACAAGCTTTTTGGAGATGTCATGCAAATTCAAGTGTAATTGAAAATCATGAGAAGCTGACTTCTTAATTTTTTTTGGCATGTATTTACTTTAGAATACAAATAAAATAGAGTGTTTGTTTACAAACAAGCTATTCTTGAAATGAGTAAACAAATATGCTTATTAGCCTGTTTTAATAAATCTTAACTAACAGATTTATGAATTTAATCATTCAGATTTACTCGATTTAGTTATTGGAGTTACCAAATGAGTTAACTAGGTTGACCCCTTCTCTTAGTAGGAGAATTAGAGTATCCAAAACGTAGGAGTTGGGCACATGAGCCAACTATGAAGCATAATGGTCGAACTAATTAATAATCTACGTCAAGCCGCTAAAATTCTTTTCCATCACTTCCCATCATTGTCTACACAAAAAGTGTGTTACTTTGTAAAATTTCTTTATTTAGTGTCACCTCCCTTGTAGATTTGTACTTGCATGTTACTAAATAGGGAATGCCCAACTTTGACGGTGGGATTACAAAGGTTTTTTTTAGTTAATGATTGATGATCTACAAACAACCCAAATTCTTGGAATTTAGTTCCTCGTTACTTTGGATCTCTTGGCATTTTCTTTCATTAACCACCTAACACCCCTTGAAGAGAAGGATTTAGTTGAAAAATTTTGTTAAAACTCATTCAATTTCTCCAAAACATCCCTCAATATTAATAGCGCTACTCTTCTTCCTCAAACTATTGCAGAATCCACATCAAATCCAAACAACCATCACCATTGACATAGAAATCAGTAAAAGGATCAAGGTAATCTCTTCAAACTCATGCATTGATTTTAGTTTTATTTGATCGATGTAGCTTTTAGTTTCCGATCTTTATAGTTTGTATGTTTCGTAAGTAAATTAACCTATTTCTAATATTTGCTTTATCTTTGACAGAAAGGGAAAATATGTTAAGAGGAAGAAGAAGATGGCGGAAATGTAGATGGGTTATTTTAACCATTTTTTTTAACAGCATGAGATGTTATAATGAAAAGATAACGTTTAGAATTAAGTTTTATTACATTTAGAAGTTTCATAATAAGTTATTAAACTTGAAGGGAGATCGAGAAGCAACGGTACACTTAGCTTATAACGTGCATAGAGGAAGTGAGGACTTTAAGCGCACTTGAAGGCTTAGGTAACGTTTAATTGATGCATGCGACTCTTGACAAACCCTAGACGCCCACGTCTTGAAGTTAGTAGGTTTTTGTAATGTGCTTCCTAGTTATCGAAAAGGTTGCGTGTCAGGTGTTTGTTTTTTTCTCAGAGAGGAAAAGAGCAGGCTTCCGTGTAAAAATTGTCATTCAAGAAAATAACCAAAGGTAAGTATGTGCATATGATATGTTTCACTTCGGGAAAAGACAAAAGATAGGAATGATGAGCACTGGCATATAGTGTTTATATCTGGAAAAATAATAATGTGTATTTGACTAACCAAAATGAAAGAAATAGAATGAAAAGTTTCCTAAAATGTAACACGATGAAAATTAGCATATCACAGATCACCACATGTAAATTCTAGAGGTGTCTCCTACAGGTTCTAGAGATGGCTCCCATTGCGATGTAGTAATCGGTCTTGCATAGCAATTAGCTTCGCACTTCCGACTAACTAAATGCTCTGATACTATTTGTCAACACTTGGTCACACTGAGTGCTAAAGGTTGCTAGTCAATATTACACATGACACTCAAGACAGACTATTAGTGGGGCATCACAATCGCCCCACCTTTAATATGCCCACACTTGTGGTGAAATTCACTTGGTGCAACGCGTGGTTTAGCTTATAATCCATTATCAAAATTAATTAGTTAATATCTAATTAAATTCATGTTATAAACCATTCAATCTCTCAATCAAATAATTTGATTAAAGACTATGTTTTGATTTATTACAACAGGACTTCTCAAAACTCTAGAAATCTAGGAAGACAAAAAAAAAAAAAAATATAGAAAACGCCACAACAGTAACTAGCCCAGCTAACCGGCTAAGAACCCAACTACTACAAACGACAAACCGAGGCACGCATTGGGCCATTCGAAGATCACCAAATCCTCATTTGATCCAAGCAAGCTTCCCCATCATTAGCAAAAACAAATAAGCCAATCTCCATCTCTAACTCAATTCTTTGTCCTCTTTTTGATTCCTCCTCTACTTCAAAATTAAACAACTTACTCTAGCTCCTCTATTAATCCAGTAAATTAACCCATACTTTATACATATTAGCTCTATCCTTAATTAATTTTAAACTGTCTGTATCTAATTATTAAATATGTTGGACATGAACTGTCATCTCATATATCAACTAAGTTGTCAGAAAAAAAGAATAATATGGCATGCTTACCATGAATGTATCCCCAATGTTGATGACAAGTGCACCGTGCACTGGCCGGATTGACTGCCATTTATCGTCCACGAACACTTCGAGCCCCTCGACATTGTCTTGTTGGAGGATTGTGAGTGAGGTTGGATCACAATGAGGTCCGGTGCCAAGAGTTAGCTCGGGCTCTTGGCATGGTGGATAGTAATTGCATCGCATTATGGAGCTACACTCCTTGAAGAAATCTCTATAGTGATGTCTATCAACGCCTAAACTAATTGCTAAGAGTTCCATTATGAAGAGAGAGAGTTTGTTCATTGCCTCGCAATATTTTTGGTACACAATCCTGAAAATAACCAAGAAACACGAACTAATTATATATCAAAAGTGACTATATATTAATTTGTTTTAGGAAATTTCTCTATATATTTTTTATAATCGTCATATGCAATTAAAGACGAATTTCTCTTGAAAATAATGTTCAAGTGCTCCAAGAGAGGTCTAATTTGAAGGACATTGCTCGTCCCACCTTCTCTGAGCATGTTTCCCTCTGCTCTTAGGATCGCACAATTGGGCTTGTACCATGGAATAGTTATTATTATTATTTTTTGAGGAATATATCATGGCGTAAATTGATCATGTCTTTATCTGCTTATGCTCATTCATCAAATTAAACCATGAATGTTTCGTACATCTATGCACGTTGCTAAGTTACCATACATAATATCCTCTCTCTTTTCATTATAATATCACGGAGGGCATTATAGCCATTTTCTATCCTAATATTCATACGCATCTTTGACATATATAAAATCTAAAGTGTAAGACCAAGCAATATGTGCATGAGAGCTCTTACCCCATATGTTCGAACTCTTCACCTAATGTTGAAGTGAAGTAGTCCACAACCGCAGGCTTAGTGCAATCTCCATTATGACCAAAAGAGAGAGTCTCCTTCCAAGGCAATTTCGACGCAAACCGATCAGAATGAGCTCCGGCATATCCCCACATGCTCCCGGGCTTCCTCTTAGCCCTCAGTTTATGACTAAGAGGTAGCATAAAGAACTCGTACATGCTGTCTAACGCGTCACGCACGAGACCTTGATCAATGCCATGGTTGGTCACTTGGAAGAAACCGTGGGTCGTGCAAGCGGCCCTGACAAGATCAGCCGCTACATCTGTCAACGCATCATCTCCTTGTAGGAAGCCCTTGAGGTCTACTATTGGAGCATTGAGCTCCTCTAGAGTTCTTGGCCTTTCATCGGAAGGCCAGACGAACTGTCTGGGTATTTTAACCTGGCATCTGGGCAAGTTTGAATCGAACACAACTTTCTCTTCGTCAGCAATGTTTATCGGAGGAGGGAGGAGGAGAGAAGTAGATTTGGCGTCCATGGGAGGAAGAGTGTGTTTAGGGTGAGGGGGATGATGAGAGTATTTGTAAGGGGAGGAAGGCAACTAAACGACAAAAGAAGAGATAAAAAAAAGGGAGTAGGGGGTGGGGTGTGGGGGTTGTCCAAATTAATTGATGTATTTGTGTGTGGATAGAGCGTGGAGTGAGTTAATTTGAGCGCATCGGTAACATCGACGAGGCGTTTGGACTACTTGGATATGCAAAGCCAAGAGTTGGGACGAGTGACGCCCCGAGTTTGAGATTTTTGTGGAAGTTAAAAAAAAAAAAACCACAAAAGGGAGGGGACGAGGGACCCTTTTCATCGTTTTGCCACCAAAAAGGAATCCGTTGAAGTGTTTGTTTCCTGGTAACCGTTACATTCCTCACTCCATAATTTCAACAGGGCCTCGTCTCTACAAATTGTGGCAACTAATTAAGTGGATCTAATCAAATTATTTGATGAGCTTAGTTAACTCCGTATCATAGATAATGCAATCACAGCAACAATCTTAATTATATAGTGGGATTGGTGAAACCCAACTCCACTTCTCTAACTCTTTGCTGGATGCTATTCGATCATGTGCTGTTTCTACTTAGTGTGAGCGGGGGAAAAAAAGAAAAGAAAAAAAAAAAAAAACGTTGGATGTTGGATTTGTGATGTCTACCACAACCAGTCTCAGCAAAATGTATTCGATTATCATGTCTCGTAGGTGCTATTCCTATTGGATACCCACAACAGGGTCTGCTCCCGCAGAATCAATACTTGTTATGATCTGATCGATTTCTTCTTCACCCATTTGGCCCCCGCATAACCAAATTCATTATTCCTTTCTTGATGATGTAGTCTGATAAGCTTATTCGTCCCCCGTCGTAATTCGTCAAGCACACCGGGTTTTGCAATATAAGATGCGAAAGCGATTAGCCATGCATACCTTCGTCAATGGCATATTGGTTTTCTTTGCATATAGTTGTCGATGTCTCGTCGGTATTGATAATTTGATGTTATTCAATTAATCACACTGTTGGTTATAGTTATGAGATAGACATCCAAATAAGTGGGTGGGTAACACCCTATCTTAGAGAAAAGATATTCTTAATTCTAGTAAGTGCAGGATTACATTTCTAAACCCTTTTATAAAGATAAAGGATGTTCCATGATGGGTAATAGAGAAAATATATAGATACATACGATACCCATCATCTCTGTGACGCCCCTGGGTTCACACAAGGCTGCAATCCAAGGTGAAACCAAGAATGTCAAACCTGCCATGCACCACACCGTGCAATAACATGTTTCACCATCATAATTAACATCTATCTAGTGGAGTCAACCATAGGTGTAGGTACAAAAGCAAGTAAAAGATAATACAAGAAATAACTGATGAAGTGATAGTGATCACATTGATATCTCATCATCCAACATACAGAAGTACATAGTCAATGTTTGAATAGATAACTGGAATACTCAACAAGTCTCAAGTACAAATATCTGAGTAAAGGAAATAAGGCATACAACCTTTACAACATCTAGAGAATAGTCCTCAAATGTCAAACAAAACTACAGTGGAGTTCCAAAATAAAATATAGCTAAAATAGACAGCTGAACACTAAAGTGTGTCGCCATCAACCTGCGACTCTCCGGGCTCCTGGCTCTGAGAGAGAGTGGATTCCCTTTGCTGCAATGTGAAGATTTCGACGAAAATCCTCCAAGTTCTCCCCCAAATCACCAAGAACAAAACTAGGGTTTAAGATAGAGGAGAGGGGGCTAGGGTTTTTCTCAGTTCAGAAGATGAGGGGGTGATTTCGGGTGAAGGGGAATATATACGAACAGTTAAACCCGACCCAAACCCGAACCAAATCAAAACAGACCCGAAACCTAAAAAAATGGAAATCAGCGTATCAGCCGACTGATGTGTCGACCGATACAGTCAGTCGACTAATGTGTCGACTGATCTGAAAAAATTCAGTTTTGTGCATGTTTTGCTAATTTGCAAAACCAACGCACAAAACTCTACACCCAAACTCTCATATCATCTCAAATAACTTATTATCATGTATATCAATGACCTCAAGCTATTTATCATAAAAGAATTATTTATTTACTAATAATTCACATATATTCATATAAAAATTACGGGGTTCTACAATCTCCTTCTCCAATCAAGTTCATACTTTACGTGGTAGTCACGGGGTGACATATGGGGGCTTCTCGCTGGTTGCACAGTGTGGTCGCTGTCCAGCTATTAATCAAGAAATGTGTGGCGATCCTACATAAAAGATCCGAATTGGTAACTCTAAGGCTGTTGTTTACATTTTCTAGAAAGCATGCTAGGGTTTCTTATTTTTATTGTGCATAATAGTTGCATATTATCCCTCTTGCATGCGTGTAGTTATCCGGATCTTACATTGGTATTAGAGCCGGATCTAGGACCATTCATCAGTTTCTTGATGGTAATTTTAATCCTAGAATAGAAAAGATGGGATTTTCATTATTAAAAATTTATTTTTAATTAAAAAATGTAATTTTTTGTGTAACAATTCTATTTTTTGACATCAGGGATGTCAGATCTATAGTAAAAATCTAATTTTTATGAACTAGTGGGCAATTTCAATAAATCAGGGATCTATTAAATATTTTTATGATATCAAAATTTTTTTAGTACTTAAAATCATGTTTTATTTTCTGAATTAAAAAAATTTCGAAACACTAGATCTCCCTGTTGTAGGCTCCAGGGGCGCTGACAGCGGTGGGACCCAAGGATGGTAGCTCCGGCCTTAGGCGCTGAAGACTAGCTACCCACCATCGCTGGCACAGGGTACTTGTGGTACGGTTCCTTTGTAAAAAAAACTAATATGAATCAGCACAGGATGCGGAGGGTCGACGGCGTCGAACGTCGTCATCTTGATCACCTCCCCAGCAGTAATGCAACACGGAAGTAAGAAACCTCGGAATCCACCAAGGGGTGCTCCACAAAGAACTTCGAATCCACAAAGAAAACAAAAAAAAAAGACGAACTTTATTGATCAAAATTTATGACTTGGGCTTACTACCATCTGCTTAAATGGAAACATAAATAAGACTCCTAATAAAACTAAAATTATAAAAAAATAATAAGTGTCAAATCCTGTCCTGAAAAGCCTCCTTATAGTAAAGGAAACAAATTAGCCAAACACGAATTAAAATTGAATTTGTTTCCTAATCTAAATAGACTCCAACCTTATTACTAAAAATAAACTAAATATTAATTCTTTTAGATTTCTACTAAAAACTAGTGATACTGATGAGATTTTGGAAATCTAACAATCTGCTTGGCTTCGTTTCATCGTGATAGGCTATAATGGCTATTTGCATATATCATATGTCAGTATACACCTTTCGAATTAGAAGATATGATTATTTCTTTGCGAAAGTCAATAATATGTATGTATCTATATTTAGCTTGTGATTATCTCGCTCCTCCATGAAATTGTCTGTTAAGTGTCCTACATCAATCTCCTCTTATTGAAAGAAGCTCAACCCTAAGCTTATATTTTCTTGAATAGTAGCTTAAATGATAAACATTTTTCTTCTCTTACATCTATCAGCATCCGCCTTGTACTTAGCATTAATTTTCTCCATCTGTTATTTTATCTCTTCATCTAAAATTTTTTCCGATTTAAACTTTTGAATGAATCATTCACATGTTATGTTCATGTGACTAACTGCATGTGAATCTATAGATGGCTTAAAAAACTCTTCCAAATCCTTTCTTTTTTTGCTCTTTATATTCTTGTTCCTAAATTTTCATCTCAATCTTGTTGAAATTACTGTCACTCTTTATTTCTAGAGAAGAATTCTCTCACACTCTATCTATTTTGTTCTAGGCCCTCCATTAAGAAAGTTACACATGACATCAATCACCTCGCTCTCAATGCTGTTGGCCTTCTTGTTTTGATGATGTTTAACAAACAATTTATTACTAATGTTGTTTGTCTAGTGTTTGTACATTCCTATGTTTTGTAGACAAACAACGTTGTTGGAGGATGGATGGAATAGAGCTTCAACGATCATATCCAAAGGAGGTTGGCGGAATGTCGGTGAAGCCTTGCAAATTCTAGTTCAAGATCCAAGTTTAGCTTCATCCGCAACGTGTACCAAGTCAAGCTTAATTGAAGATCAAGATTGCTTGGGTAATGTAGTTTTAGGTTTTATATTATGCGTGTTAGTACTTTAAGCTCAATCATATATACACATACACGCTTTGGTTTTGATTTTGTATATATACAGTTATATATATACATATATATTTTTTGGTTTAATAGGTTTCGAGTTTATATATGAAACAAATGAATAGAATTAGAAAATACTATTTTGTTTCATGTTTATATGCCTATATATGATTTCGTCTTTAACAAGCCTATATTTAATGAAATCATATTTAGTGTTTTGTATATATTGCATAGAATATGCAATTTTGTGAAAATATGGTTTTCTTAGTTTTTGGACTTAACAATAATCATATCCATATTTTATTAAGTCTATATAATCATTGTGCAAAGTTTCAAAACATGGTTTAGCTAAAATATCAAATTTCACATGTTTACATTTTCGTGTTTTGAACTATTTTGCAAAATGATGATTTTTCACAAATGGGAAATGCAATTTGGAAAATTCTTTTTGTAACATGTTCATTTACATGTTTATATACATTTTCCAAAGTTTCATAATTTTTGGACTTCATTTGTTATTTTTAACATTTTTCCAAAGTCTTAAAAGTCAGCTTTAAAATCAGGTTTTGAAATGTCTGTTTTCGGTCGACCGCACCGGTCGACCGCTCGTTTGTTTTTTCGTCAGCATGGTCCAGAGAGTTGGTCGGTCGACCGGTCCGGTCGACCGAAAAGCTCCATCGGTCGACCGCACCGGTCGACCGGATAAGTGTTTGCTTGATTTCCTGTTTTCGACCTGGATAACGGTCGACCGAACTTTCCATCGGTCGACCGAATTTTTCCATCGGTCGACCGAC